ATATCTGCTAGTTGATCATTCGATTTTACAAACTTTGTAACAATATCTCCTGAAAGTATTTTTTTCTCTAACAAAGTGACAGTCGATCTCAATGTGTTTAGTCCTCTCATGGAACACCGGATTTGAGCAACTGCTTGACCCAAACTAACTCACACGTTGCCATAGTCATGGCCCGATATTCCACTTCGGCGCTAGATCGAGCAACTACATTTTGTTTCTTGCTCTTCCACGAGACCAAATTACCTCCTACTAGAACACAATATCCAGATGTAGATCGTCTATCAGAAGGTGATCCTGCCCAATCAGCATCTGTGTACCCAACAATCTGCTCGTGGCCTCGATCCTCGAATAGTAATCCTTTGCCTGGAGCTGACTTTATATACCGAAGAATACGAACAACTGCATCCCAATGACTATCACAGGGAGAATCCATAAACTGACTTACAACACTCACCGGAAAAGAAATGTCAGGTCTCGTCACTGTGAGGTAATTCAATTTTCCAACTAACCTCCTATATCTCGTAGTCTCTAAGAGGCTCCCCCTGCCCAGGCAGAAGCTTAGCATTCGGATCCATAGGAGAGTCAATAGGTCTACAACCCATCATTCCAGTCTCCTCAAGAATGTCTAAGGCATACTTCCGCTGTGAAATAACAATACCTGAGCTAGACTGAGCGACCTCAATACCTAGAAAATACTTCAATCTGCCCAGATCCTTANGTCTGCCCAGATCCTTAGTTTGGAAGTACTGAAAGAGATGTTGCTTCAGATTAGTAATACCATCCTGATCGTTGCCAGTAATAACAATATCATCAACATAAACCACCAGATAAATACACAGATTAGGAGCAGAATGCCGATAAAACACAGAGTGATCAGCCTCACTACGAGTCATGCCGAACTCCTGAATAATTGTGCTGAACTTACCAAACCAAGCTCGAGGGGACTGTTTCAAACCATATAGTGACCTGCGCAATCTGCATACACAACCATTAAACTCCCCCTGAGCAACAAAACTAGGTGGTTGCTCCATATAAACTTCCTCGTCAAGATCATCGTGGAGAAAAGCATTTTTAATGTCTAACTGATAAAGAGGCCAATGACGTACAACAGCCATGGACAAAAAAAGACGAACAGATGCTACTTTAGCCACGGGAGAGAAAGTATCACTATAATCAAGCCCAAAAATCTGAGTATATCCTTTTGCAACAAGACGAGCCTTAAGCCGATCAACCTGGCCATCCGGGCCGACTTTGACTGCATAAACCCAACGACAACCAACAGTAGACTTACCTGCAGGAAGAGGAACAAGCTCCCAAGTGCCACTCGCATGTAAAGCAGTCATCTCGTCAATTATAGCCTGTCGCCATCCAGGATGAGATAGTGCCTCACCTGTAGACTTAGGAATAGAAACAATGGACAAAGAAGATATAAAAGCATAATGAGGTGACGACAGACGATGATAACTTAGACCAACATAGTGGGGATTAGGATTAAGTGTGGACCGTACACCTTTGCGGAGTGCAATTGGTTGACTATGAGGAGACAAGTCCGCAGTAGGTGCAAAATCTGATGCAGGACGTGAATCACCTGGGCCTGATGCTGGATGTGGATGGTGATGATAAGTCAAGAGTGGCGGAGCTGCAGAAGGTTGAACTGGATTATGTGGAGGAACTGGACCTATAGGTGATGGACCTGGAGCTATAGATGGTGGAACGAGAGCTATAGGTGGTAGAGCTGGAGATGTAGAGGAAGATGGATGGGAGATAGTGACTGAATCTCCAAAAGAAGAAACTAGTAGTACCTCGGAAATATCTAAGTGATTACCTGGACCTGTGAAGTATGATTGGGTTTCAAAGAAGGTAACACCAGCGGACATAAGGTACCGCTGGAGGTCAGGAGAATAGCATCGATACCCCTTTTGCGTTCTCAAGAAACTAAGAAATACGCACTTAAGAGCACGGGGAGCTAACTTATCTGTTCCTGGAGTAAGGTTATCGACAAAACAAGTGCTTCCAAAAACACGGGGTGGAAGAGAGAATAAAGGTAAGTGGGGAAACATAACAGAGAATGAAACTTGGTTCTGGATAGCTGAAGATGGCATACGATTAATAAGATAGCAAGATGTAAGAACTGCATCCCCCCAAAAACGCAACGGAGCATGAGATTGTATGAGTAGGGTACGAGCAGTTTCAATAAGATGTCTATTCTTTCTTTCAGCTACCCCATTTTGTTGAGATGTGTACGGACAATATGTTTGATGAATAATCCCATGAGATTTCATAAACTGCTGAAATGGGGAAGACAAATACTCTGGGGCATTATCACTACGAAATGTGCGAATAGAAACCCCAAATTGATTTTGAATTTCAGCGTGAAAGGTCTGGAAAATAGAAAACAACTCAAATCGATTTTTTATCAAAAATATCCAGGTGCACCTAGAATAGTCATTAATGAAACTAACAAAGTAGCGGAATCCTAAGGTAGAACTGACCCGACTAGGACCCCAAACATCTGAATGGACTAAAGTAAAAGGTGACTCTGCTCGATTATCAATACGTCAAGGGAAATGAGAGCGAGTATGCTTACCATGCTGACAAGACTCACACTCTAGAGCTGACAAGTGAGATAAACCAGGTACCATTTTCTGAAGTTTTGACAAACTAGGACGTCCCAACCGTTTATGTAATAAATCTGGTGAATCAGTAACAGGACAAATTGTTGAAGGAAGACAAGATGTGAGTCCACGTGATTTAGCAAGAATAAGGTAATAAAGTCCATTTGATTCACGCCCGGTACCAATGATCCACCCTGTACTGCGTTCCTGTATAAAAACATGGTCATCAAGAAATAAAACGGCACATTTAAGTAATTTGGCTAGGCGACTATCAGCTATGAGATTAAAAGGACTATTAGGGACATAAAGAACTGAATCTAAAGGTAAGGAAGGAATTGGGCTTGCTTGACCTATTGCTGTTGCCATAGTTTGAGACTCATTGGCCATTGTGACTCTTGGAAGAGATTGAGAATATGAAATAGTAGTGAAAAGAAATTTGTTACCAGAAATATGATCTGATGCACCTGAATCAATGACCCAAGACTCCGAGGATGAAGATTGAGAGACACGAGTCACACTATTACCTGTTTGAACAACGGAAGCTATCTCAGAAGATGTCTGCTTACCTGCTTTGTCCTGAAGAAACTCAAAATAATCACTAAAGAAACCATCCGACTATTCGAAGTATCGGTTCCCATGTCGCTACAATTAATAGTAATAGGGTTAACTTGAAATAGTGAAAATTAGTAACTCCTTTGGGAAAACTGAAGAAATCGCTAAGAAAACACTGTTTACAGCAGGAAAACATAACATTGTTCTGCGCCGGAAAACACTGTAGCTCTCGGAATATTACTGTAGCAGCCGGAAACTATTCAAAGTGGTCAGAATGAAATAAAAACAATAGGGGTAGGATCGGAATTACCAGACAACCCAATTGTTCTGAAGAAACTTTTTCAAAAAATGGCCGGAAGTCCACTTTTGAAATCACTGTTCACGCCGGAAAAATATAAAAGTGGTCGGAATTTGGTGTAATATGGATGGGTAGGCTCGGAATTGCAAGGGGAACAATCTGTCCTGAAGAATCGTCGCAGAAAAATGGCCGCAAGGCGGCTCACGCGACGTCGGAACTTCGCCGGAAAATTTCTTCCGATCGCTACACTACCGCCGGAGATTTTCACTAGGTTTGGTCGCCGGACAGTGACTACTCTTGTGGTAGTGTTGGATTTTGCACAACACTAACCGAGACAAAGCAGACACAAAATAACTTTGAAAAGTCGCCGGAAAAAAGGGTCCCGGTGACTGATTTCACTTCCCGGAATCGCTGGAATTTATGCACTGCGATAAATCTCTCACGATAGCTCTGATATCATGTGAGAAGGCACGGGAGAAAATATGATATATTGATATTGTGGGTTCAATACAATACAAGAGGTCCTTATTTATAGCTATACTATACAAGGACATACTACTCCTATTCCAATGTGGGACAAGACTACATTATGTACATATCTAACACAAGGGTTCAACAATGGCAGCGGAGAGAGAATAGATGAAAATCGAGGAAGGAAATCGTGAAGAAAGAAGGAACAAGATGAGCAAAGGCTCCAATACGAGCTCAATCAATGAATTTGCGAAATGTTAAGGGCAATTTCGACCTAGAAGGGGGAAGAAAAATAGTGCGGGAATAGGGGTTGAGAAAGGGAAATACGTTTTTATATTTTATTTTATAATTAATTGCTTTCGACCAATTCGTAATTCTCAGAACATTGGGGATGATTTCTAACATTACAAAATGGGATTAGATTAACTAACAATAATCCTAAAAAGGGCGGGTCTAAATATGAAGAATTAAAACTTGGGGTCTTAACCTCAATTGAGTCTTGGTCAGAGGTCTTTTAATTAGAGCTCCCTAGTGACTTGTCATGACTGAACAACGATGTGTCAACTAATTTAACGGTAATGCGGCATACATTGGACAAAATTCTGGCATGTGACTTGACGCCAAGGCTGACATTCCTTCTGGTGGCATATGGTGTTTTTTTTTCTTTTTTTGACGACTGTGTTCATCTCGTCTTAATGTAATTGGTTAACTTATATGGAAACCGAATAATCAAGGAAATCGAGGTAGCAATGCACTTAATGAACTTTGCCAGAAAACGTTTTTGGTGGCCGAGACAACCTAAATTCTGATAGTTGCTCTATTTGGCTCTAATACCATTGAAACAAGATATAAAAGAAAAAATACTTTGTATCAAAATTAACATTTTAAGAGAGACTTCTTAAATAGAAATCTTTGTTTACATACAAATATACAATCAATTATGTTTCCTAATTATGTAGAATTCTATGGAATTGTCTTACACAAAATCCTATCTAGTATTTCACTTTCCATACGCAGGCACAATGAATTTAGACATGAAACAGAAAGAAAGTTATAGTTGGTACCTGCATAGCCCTCAGTTCCATTTGAGCCATATCAACCGCTTTTGTCCCACCAATAAAATTGGGATGCGAGGAATTTATATAATCCATCTAAAATGAATTGGTTGATCAGCAATAGAAAAATAATTTTGCATAACTGCTATGAACAAGCATGGAACATATAAAATCAACCGTTGAAGTACAAAACTCAACTCAAAGGAAACTGACGATACATCTTAATTGAATTTTTACTTCTCAATAACAGTCCAAGGAAGGCAATAAAAAAGTAATGGAAGATAATGATCTTAAGATGCAAAATATATTTCTACGACAACAATTCAGCAAATTCATAAAAGTGAGAAACCCACCCATCCCAAACCTCAAGAAGAAAACCTTTCAAATGGAAAGAAGCTGTATCTTGTTGATATTCATTCAAAATTAGAAGCATTAGTCCAAGTGGCAATTAGAATATGGACCTAAAATAAGTTATTCATATCTATACTATTCTTCGCCGTCTTTTTTTTGGTGTGTGTGNCTGCTCATGAGAGAGGGAACCTACGTACTAAAACTGTAAAACACCATATAAGTCAAAAATACTCTTTTATCACCTTGATAAGCTCATCATAGACGAATCGCAAGCACTGGAGGCTGGGATCTAGCAGCCTGGCTATTTGTCTTCTAACCAAAACTTCAAATGGGACCTAAAACACTTATACCATCATTATCATCCCAACGATAATAGAAAGCATTATAGGTGCTCCGCTTGAAGCATAAATTTACTATCACGGCATGCACCTCTGGCACAAATAGCGCATTTCTCGGACCAGTTGCATTGTGGATAGCTATTCTTATATCCTCGTCACTTAGATCTTCACAAGGATCCACTTCCTACAGTGACACAAATAACAACATTACTACCTGATGCAGCATCAACAGCTTACTGTTACTGCTAGAACAACATCAGTTACATAGTTAAGTAGATAAGATCTTGTTAATATCAAAAGCAAGAAATATTAAAGTAATATTGGCTTTAGCCCTTCACTAGAGAAGCTAGTCCATGAAAGACCAGCAGCAACAGAAACTAATTGAGGAACAAAAATTTGCACCTCCAGGCTCTTTACAAAAATTGACTGGAATATGTGATGAATCCGTGCTCCCCCTGACAATTCTTTGGTTGTCATTGCTTCACTTTTTCCATCCACCACTGCAGAAAATGCTGTTAATCACCAAGAAAAGGAAGAACGTCAGTAAGCAACCAAAAATTCTACCCCCTCTCTCTTTGACTTGATTAACCTACTTTGACTGGCACAATGATTAAGACAACTAAGCAACATGTGCTAGTAGTCTGTTAGAATAAGATGAAGTAACAGTGGGAAGAAGCGACAAGAGCGTAAAGATGTTTTTCAAATTCAAAATAAAGTGAAAAACAGTACTCCATGTCATTCCGACCTTCTAAAGCTGTAAGCTTTACCACTTTAAGGAAAAGATCAATCTTTTGGAGGACCTTAGTAGCCAACCAAAATGAGACAAGTGGGGTACAGAAGAACTATATGTTTTGCTACAGATTCATATCTGCCTAGTTTCACTCAGTCAATCCAGAAAAGAGAATGCACCTATCTAAATTAAATACTATGCCGTCGTATTTGGAAAACAAGACTTAATTTTCATACACAAGCCTATCTGGAACATACAGATGAGCCTCCCACTCAGTATCTTTCTCAACATCAAAATATTGAGGCGGATAGCTAAAATATTAAACATGTAATCATCCTAGTAACTGAAAAAATGGGATGGCTAAAGAGAAGTTAGCACAAAGTTCTAGAAACACATAATAAAAGGATATTATTCCATGTAGTGATATATATATACACATATACATATGTAGTGATATATATATACACATATACATATGTACTAACTAAGGAAAGAAATAAAAGAGATTCCTACAAATCTGTTATCTATATATGGATTATGTACACTACTAAGAAACAGGTCTATGTTCATTGTAAAAAGTGTCTACGTTCATTCTGTAAATGGGTGATCGATTCAGGTGCCACAAATCACATGACAGGTAATCCAAATATTTTTTCTAGCTTTCGCTCACATAAAGCACTCTCACAGTTACTATAGCTGATGGATCAACTTGTAGCAGTGTTGGATCTGAGACTGTTAAGCCAACTTCCTCTATTACCCTGTCATCTGTATTAAGTCTACCAAATTTGGCCTTTAACTTGATTTCTGTTAGTAAAATCACCAAAGACCTTAATTGTTGTGTTGCATTCTTTCCCGATCATTGTTTGTTTCTAGATCTTACAACAAAACAGGTTATTGGTAAAGGATATTTATTTGGTGATCTCTACACCCTTGATGAATGGGAGCCACGGTCTATTGCATGCTCTAGTGTTGTGTCTCCCTTTGAAGCACATTGTCGATTAGGACACCCCTCTCTGCCTTTGTTGAAGAAGTTTTGTCCTCAGTTTCAGAATATTTCTTCATTGGATAGTGAGTCATGTCGATTTGCAAAACACCATCGCATCTCGTTAAGTCCAAGAGTTAATAAACGAGTTGAGTCCGCTTTTGATTTAGTTCATTCTGATGTTTGGGGACCATGTCCTGTTGTTTCCAAAATTGGGCATAAGTATTTTGTCACCTTTGTAGATGATTTTTCTCGAATGACTTGGATTTACTTTATGAAGAGTCGATCTGAAGTGTTTACCCACTTTTCTATCTTCTCTAATGAAGTCAAAACTCAATTTAACGCTTCGGTGCACATTCTAAGGAGTGATAATGCTAAAGAATACATGTCAGAGTTATTTCAGTCGTACATGAGACAACATGGTATACTACATCACTCTTCTATGTGTTGATACACCCTCTCAAAATGGAGTTGCTGAGAGGAAGAATAGGCATCTACTTGAGACAGCTCGGGCACTTTTGTTCCAAATGAAGGTTCCTAAACAGTTCTGGACTGATGCGGTCTCTACGGCTTACTTTCTGATTAATCGCATGCCGTCTACTGTGCTTGGTGGTAATGTGCCTTACAGTGTTCTTTTTCCAAACAAGGCATTATTTCCGGTGGAACCTAAGGTATTTGGAAGCACATGTTATGTTCGAGATGTTCGACCATCTGTTACCAAGTTGGATCCCAAGGCATTGAAGTGTGTTTTCCTTGGCTATTCTCGCCTTCAGAAGGGGTATCGGTGTTATTCTACTGAACTTGGCAAATATTTGGGGTCAACTGATGTGGTATTTTCAGATATTACGTCATTCTTCTAAGCTCCTCCCATTTCTACAAGTCAGGAGGGAAGAAGATGAGTGGCTAGTATATCAGGTTACTCGTACTTTGACAGAACAAGGAGATGATGTTCCTCCATCTCCTAGTTCTATCGAGCACCAATCCACTATTCTGCCTTTAGCACCTGCTCCAACTGTGTTAGCAAGACCGACAATTGTTCAAGTTTACTCGAGGAGGCAACAGACGAATGATACATGTTCTGCACCAGTTCCTTCATCATCAGATGTGCCTCCACCTGACCCTCCAGAAAACCTTGACCTTCCAATTGCTCTTCGCAAAGGTATACGTATTTGCAAATCCACATATTTTATTGCTAATTTTGTTTCCTACGACCACTTGTCTCCTGCATCTAGATCTTTGATTGTGTCTCTGGACTCTGTTTCTATACCCAATACGGTAAAGGAGGCTTTGAATCATCCTGGACGCTCTGAAGCAATGCTTGAGGAAATACATGCCTTAGAGAAAAATCACACTTGGAATTTAGTAAATTTACCCAGTGGAAAGAAAGTAGTGGGATGCAAGTGGGTCTTCACGGTCAAAGTTAATCTTGATGGCTCTGTGGCGAGACTTAAGGCCAGACTTGTGGTTAAGGGGTATGCTCCGACTTATGGGGTGGATTATTCAGACACCTTCTCTCCAGTTGCCAAACTTACTTCTGTCCGCTTGTTCATTTCTCTAGCTGCTTTTGAGAATTGGCATTTGCATAAATTGGACATTAAGAATGTTTTTCTTCATGGTGATCCCCATGAAGAGGTATATACGAAGGAACCACCAGGTTTTGGTAAATTTAGTGAAGCAGTTCAAGAATTTGGGCTGAAAAAGAGCAAATGTGATCATTTTGTCTTCTATAAGCAATCACCAGCTGGATTTATTCTCCTTGTTGTATATGTGAATGACATTATTATCACAGGGAGTGATTATGCACGAATCTCTTCTCTCAAGTCTTTCTTGCATACTAAGTTCATACAAAAGACTTGGGACAACTGAAATACTTCTTGGGAGTAGAAATAACTAGAAGCAAAAAGGGAATTTCAGAGAAAGTATATTCTTGACTTACTAGCAAAAACTGGTAAGCTGGCTGCCAAGCCTTGCAGTGCTCCAATGGTTCTTAATTTGCATCTTGTAAAAGATGATGGCGATCCATTTAATGATCCAGATAGATACAGGAGGTTAGTTGGGAGATTAAACTATCTCATTGTGACTCGTCCAGATATTGCTTTTGCAGTGAGCATGGTTAGCCAGTTCATTTCCGCGCCCACAGTTAAACATTGGGAGGCTTTGGAGCAGATCCTATGTTACTTAAAAGGAGCTCCGTGACTTGGCATATTATCCAGCAATCACGGTCATTCTCGCATTGATTGTTTTGCAGATGCAAATTGGGCTGGATCCAAGATTGATAGAAGATCTACTACTGGTTACAATGTATTTGTTGGTGGAAACTTGGTATCATGGAGAAGTAAGAAACAAAATATTGTATCTAGGTCCGGTGCAGAATCTGAGTATAGAGTTGTGGCACAATCAACAATAATGTGGATACATCACCTTTTAACTGAAATTGGGTTAAAGCATCCTACTCCATCAAAGCTCTGGTATGATAATCAAGCTGCACTCCATATTGCCTCAAATCCAGTGTATCATAAAAGAACCAAACATATTGAAGTTGACTGTCATTTTATTCGTGAGAAGATTTAGAAGAACTTGATTTCCATTGGCTACGTGAAGACAGGAGAGCAGCTAAATGATTTGTTCACTAAAGCATTGAATGGCACTCAAATTGATTACCTTTGTAACAAGCTGGGCATGATCAATGTATATGCTCCAGCTTGAGGGGA